ATGTCTTTGGAATCTCACCAATGTGACTTTATATTTGAATTTTTTTTTTAAATCAAAGACTTTGCCACTTATTTGCTACAAAACCTTGTTAGGCTTAGTTACTTTGTCTATAAAATAGGGATAACACTTTGTGATCGGACTGTTGTAAAAATTAAAAGAATATATATGTAAAATACCTAGCATAATACCTGATATTTTGTAAATGCTAACCTTCTTCATTTTTTTTAATTTAAAAAACCTTTATTAAACCCTCATTGTGAACCTAGCATTACTAATATTAATGGCAATACTAGCTGTGTACTAGGATCTGTATTTAAGTTTTTTAATTTAATGACGTTAGTATATTTTTATCTTAATTTATGATAAAGGTTTCTTACACTTGAAGGTTTTTCTCATTTTTTTCTAATCAATGTGTAACTTAGATTTTGTGATTTATTACATTTAGATGCCAGTGAAATCTGAAGTTATGTATCCACATTTAATGGAAGGCTTCTTACCATTCAGCAATTTATGTACTCATCTGTAAGTAGAGTGGCCTTTACTGTCTTAGTCTACATTCATATTTACATCATATTAAGCTTTCTTATTGACATGATTTTCTTTGAGAAGGAATTTCTACCATCTTCTTCCTCATTCCATCCCATGTGCATTCAGAATTTCAGAATTGTAGACTAACACCAAACAGAACTAACTGCTTCCACTGTGGCACTTTCTCATCATGTTTTCAGTTCAATTTTAGATATTATAAATCTAAAATTTTTGCCATCTTTATGAAGGGTTTTGAGTTCTTTCTTTTAAAGATGTGGGGTACAAGCCAGGATTGGATACACAAGTGGTTTATGTACGGGCAAAGTTTGGACCTCCCATTGGATCTCACCTTGCCCGGATTAGGATCAGGCACTTTTGTTGATGTTATGTATCTCCCCTCCCCCAGCAGTATCCCTTTACCGCCAATCCCTTTCTTGTAGTATTATGCTAGGTGTTCAGGATCTGCTTATGAGTGGGAACATGTGGTACTCAGTTCTTTGGTTCTGTAATGGATGACTGAGTATGATAGACTCTAAAGGTTTTGAGTTCTGAAAGAGTCTTAATGTCTCCAAGAGTGTGTACTGTTTATTAAAATCTATAACTATACCTTTGATTACATGAATATAGGAGTAATATACAGAAAAAATAGATTTCAGTGCTGTGCATTGTAGTGCACTCTGGCTTTGTCCCCTGACCTTGAGAAACATATTCAGAAATCTTTTTTTGAAAATAAAGAGATGTTTATATCCTATGACTTAGTGTATAATTTACAATGTACTTTTCAATATTCTTTCTGTACTTAATCTTCAAGGGACTCATTTTTGCCAGTCTGCCGGGTAAATGATTTTGAGACTGCTGATATTCTATATCCAAGTAAGTGAGAATTTAAAACAATTTTTAATTTCTGACTTCAGTCTACCATTTCACCTTTCTGTCAATAAATGCAAAAAAGAAAAAAAACCTTCAAAGACATTAAATTTAGAAGTTTATCCCATTTTTAAGGATGCATTTTAAGTTTAAAAAGATTTGGTGTGTTATTTAAAACTTTGTATTTTAATCCTCTTGTGGATCTCTTGCTTTTTTGTTTTGTATTGTTTATTGCCATATAATTTATACACAGTAAAATTTTCAAATTTTAAATGTAAATTGGATGAGTTTTAACATGTATAAGGTTGTATAGCCACTGTCACAATTGTATAGGACATTTCCATGACCCTGCAAAATTTCTTCATGTCCCTTTGCAGTCAGTTTCTTAGTCACCCCCATTCCCTGGCAATCCTTGCTCTGTTTTCGTCACTATAGTTTTGACTTTTCTAGAATTTGATATAAATGAAATCATGCAGTCTATAGTCTTTTGTGTCTGGCTTCTTTAAGGACAATGCTTTTGAGGTTCATTCATGTTATTACACTGATTCTTTGTTGTTGTTGTTGTTTTTATCTTGGTGTATTTTACAAGTATATACCCCAATTTGTTTATCTGTTGACCAGTTAATACATATTTGAATTGCTTCTAATATTTGACCATTATGAACAAAGCTGCTGTGAACATTGCCATAGAAGTCTTTGTGTGGACAAGTTTTCATTTTTCTGGGTAAATACCTAGGAGTAAAATGCTAGTTCATGTGGTAAGTACATGCTTAACTTTTTAAGAAACTGCCAGACTGTTTTGCAAAGTGACTGCATCACCACTAGCAATGTATGCTAGCTTCAGTTGTTCCATATATACCCTCGATTTAGTAAGTTTTAAATTTTAACCAGAGGAAAGGTAGTGGCGTGTCATGGTTTTAGTTTGTGTTTTCTTGATGACTAATAACAATGAACATATTTTCATATGCTTATTTGCTATTCATATATCTTCTTTGATGAAGTTTCTATTCGAATCATTTGCCTGTTTTTTTTTTTTTTTTTTAAGTTAAATTGTTTGTCTTACTAAGTTGTAAGCCTTTTGATATTTTGGAAACAAGTTGTTTATCAGATATGTGTTATGCAAATATTTTCTCCTAGTCTGTTACTTGCTTTTTCCATTTCATGACAGTCCCTTGAAGAGCAAATAAATTTCAGCTTTGAAGATTCTAATCAATTTTTTTCTTTTATGATTCATTAAACCACTTTTTATATTCTATTAGGAAATCTTGGCCTAATTCAAGTTTGCTAAGATTTATTCCTGTATTTTGCTTCAAAAAATTGTGATTTTAACTTATTTTATTGTTTAATATTTTAACTTTTATATATAGTATGAGATAAAAGTCGGGGTTCATTTTTTTCTTTTTACATATGGATATCAAATTATTCTATCACCAGTTGTCCAGAAAATTATCTTTTCCCCATTGAATTACCGTGACACTTTTTGTTAAAAATCAGTTGACCAACCACTGCACAACTATTAGAATAGCAAACAATCCAAAACAGTGATAATACCAAATTCTGATGAAGATGTGGAGCAACAGGAACTCTCATTCTGGGTAGGAATGCAAAATTGTACATCCACTTTGCAAGACAGTCTGATGGCTTCTTACAAAAATAAACATACTCTTGGTATACAATCCAGCAGTTGTGCTCCTTGGTACTTACCCAAATGAATTAAAAGCTTATGGTCACACAAAACTTGCACACAGGTGTTTAGAGTAGCTTTATTCACAATTACTAAAACTTGAAAGCAATCGAGATGAAAGAATAAACAAACAGTGATATATCCAGATAATGACAGGGCTTTGAGATATTTTAGGGGAGTGAAATTATATGTTACTCTAATGGTAGATGCATGTTATTATTCATCTGTCCAAACTCATAGAATACATAGCACCAAGAATGAACTCCAGTGTATCCTAGGGATCTGGGATGATAGTGATGTGCCATTGCAGGTTCATCCATTGTAACAGACATATCACTCAGGTGGTGGATGTTGATGGAGGGGTATGTACATGTATGGAGACGTGGGGTATTCAGGATCTACTGTTCAGATTTACTGTGAACTTAAAACTGCTCTAAAAAAATCAACTGACCATATATTTCTATGAGTCTGTTTTGTGGCTTGTTCTTCTATTCCATTGATCAATATATCTTTATGCCCAGTACAACTACCTTGATTACTTTAGCTTTATGATAAGTTAAAATTGGGCAACATTAGTCCTCCAATTCTGTACAACTTTTTCAAGATTGTTTTGGCTATTCTGGTCCTTTGCATTTCCGTATATATCATAGTATTTTCAGCTTGTTTCTTTCTACCCCTATTCCTCCTAAAAAACCATTTTGATTGGGATTAGATCATTTGGGGGATACTTGACAATTTGATAATATTAGGTCTTCTGATCCATATTATATGGCAGCATGTTATACCATTGCCTTTATTTAGGTTGTCTTTAATTTCTCATGATATTTTATAAATTTCAGTGTGGGTCTTGTGATAAATTTTCTTAAATTTATTCCTAAATACTTCAAACTTTTAGTGATACTTCATATTTTTTTAATTTAAATTTTCTGATTGGTTTATTTATTTATTGTCATAGATACAGGGCCTCCCTATGTTGCCCAGACTGGTCTTGAACTCCTGGGCTCAAGTGATCCACCAGCCTTGGCCTCCCAAAGTGCTGGAATTATCGTCATGTACCACCATGCCTAGCCCTAGTTGGTCATTGTTAGTGTAGAAAAATGCAGTTGCTTTTTATGTATTGACCTTGAGAGCATCACTTATTATTTCTAGTAGATTTTTTTGTTTTTTAGATGGATTCCTTAGGATTTTTTCTTTCCTATCTTTTCTTTTTTCTGTAGGTGAGGTCTTACTCTGTCACCCAGACTGGAGTACAGTGGCATAATCACCGCTCACCACAGCCTTGATCACATGGGCTTAAGCAATCTTCCTGCCTCAGCCTCCTGAGTAGCTAGGACTATAGGCATGTGCCACCATGCCCAGTTAACTTTTTGATTTATTGTAGTGATGAGGTCTCATTGTATTGCCCAGGCTGGTCTTAAACTCTTGCACTTAAGCAGTCTTCCCACCTTGGCCTCCCAAAGTGCTGGGATTATAGGTATGAGCTACTGCACCTGACTTCCTGGGGAATTTCTATATTGGCAATCATATTTGAGAACAAGTTATAATTTGAGAAGAGATTTACTTTCCCTTTTCTCTTCACAATGCTGATTCTTTTCTCTACCTTCTTTATATATTTATAAAGTCTGCTTTTACATTCTTGCCTACTCAATCTATTATTTGGGGTATATTTTCATTGATTTTTTTTCTTGTTATGGATCATGTTGTGATCTTTCTTTGCATATCTGCTCATTTGTATTGGATGCCAGATATTGTAAATTTTGCATTGTTGGTTACTGGCTATATTTATTTATTTTTTTTTAAGACTTCGAATATTTCTTGTATTTCTGAGTTGTTTTCCTGGCCTTAATGATTTCTTATTATTCATGTACCAATTAGTACTCAACTGAGAACTTGAGGGAATTCTTCTACAGTCTTCCAGAACTTTCTTTCTTTGTAGCTTCTTCCTCTTGTTCAGTTTTATAAGTTCTAGTTGCTTTAACCTCTCCAAACTCTAAACTCTATTTTCTTGACTCAGCAAAACCCATAAGTTTGTGTTCTCTGGGGTATAGCCTAAAAACTTTCCAAGTTGTAAGCTGGTGCATTAATAGGTTTCAACTCACTTGTTTCTTTTGGAGATTGCTGTACTGTATTGCTTGTTGTCTAGCTTATAAGAATTGTTGCTTCATGAATTTTTTTTCTTTTTTTAGTTATTTAATATAGGACATCGAATCTGGTTCCTGTTATTCCTTCATGACCAAAAGTGGTTTGTCCTTTTTTTCCCTAAAGTTATTAATACAAAGACAATTCCTACCTCTAAGCATAAGCAGATTTTCTGCACTTTGTGACAGCATATACAGTTTTATTCTACATATTATGAGCAGAGCATATGGTGAGAGAGGATAAATTTTCATTTTTATTTTGTGTTGATTCAAAGATTTATTTAGAATCTTGCTTTCTGTTTTAGAAGCAAAACGGACAAGTCGGTTTTTAAGTGGCATCATCAACTTTATTCACTTCAGAGAAGCATGCCGTGAGACATATATGGAATTTCTTTGGCAATATGTAAGATTCACATACATTTTGGGGTCAAATACCAGACCAGTAACATTATTTATGAACTGTTGATCTGTTTTGAAATGTTTGTCACAGATACCAAACTGTTGTATGGCCTTTAGAATTGAATTTATTTTTATAATTATATAAAGTTGCAGATTTTAGTTACTGGAAAGCATATCTCAGAATGAGATTTTCTTTGATATTTGATAATATTAGGGAAAGTCTGGGTTTTTTATTTTTTTAATCTAATAGATAAGGTTTGTTTTTCTATATTAGGGAGTGTTATTGAACTGTTTATATGGTGTTTATCATGCATGCCCAGGGCTAAATTATAAGATTCAATCCAAGGCAATCACTTTAACAAACAGAAATTCATTTTCCTTCCTTCAACAATTTGGGAAGATTATAGGTCATCTGTGTGTGATTTGTTCCCATTTGTCCTCAGTTTTGGGTACCACATTCTTAGAAAATCACCAGAGTAACACCAGACAATTAGACCTTAGGTTCCAGCTACTCTGAGCTATATATAGATAAATGTTTCTTTGCACAAATCATGCTAAGCTTATACCTCCTAAACATCACATACTCTCCAAAGTTTACACATGCATGTGCCAACATACACACACAGTCACAATTCTGCTTGGCTGATTACTCTATTTTTCAGACATAGCTCAGACATTTATCACCTCTGTGAAGCCCTCTATGACCCTCCTCCCCAGCCATTAACCAGGTTGGGTTGGATCTTACTTTTCTTCGTTCCCATTATATTGAAAAACAAATTATTTTGTGGGTTTTTATTCATGTATTTGAGTCCTCAAGTGTACTGAACTACTTAAGTTCAGGAACTGCAAATTAGTCTTTTTGGAAATTACCAGTAACTAGCTTAATGCCTATGATAGGAATTCAACATTTGTGTTAAGTAAAGAAATTCTCAATTCATTTGTTATGAATGCCTAACTCTATCTTACATTTCTTTTATCTGTTGGTGAAAATTGTAGAGTATAAACATTTTACTGTCTGCTAGATTTTTTTTTCTTGCATCAGGGTCTCTCACTCAAGCTGGAATGCAATGGCATGATCACAGCTCACTGCAGCCCCAAACTACTGGGCTCAGGTGATCCTTCTACCTCAACCTCCCCAGTAGCTGGGCCTGCAGCTGCATGCCACCACACCCAGCTAATTTTTTTTTTTTTTAATTTGTTGTAGAAACAAGGTCTTGCTATGTTGCCCAGGCTGGTTTTGAACTTCTGGGCTCAAGCAATCTTCTTGCCTCAGCTTCCGAAAGTGCTGGGATTACATGCATGAACTACTATGTCTAGCTGTTTGCTAGATTTTGGAGGGGGTAGGGGAAGGAAATCACTGGTGTTGAAAAAAACTAACATGAGATTATTACAAATGCTTTAATAGAGATCCTCTGCAGACAGAATGCAGCAGTTAAATGCCACACACCAGGAGGCACTGATGAAACTGGAGAGACTTGAGTAAGTGGGAGATTGGCAAGTAAAATAAAAGCAATTTCAAAATGCAAAGGGAATCTTAGGTAGTATTTTACAACACTGCAGCCCACCTTAAGTCTCTTGTCTTCAATAACAAGTAGCAGAGTAGTAAAGTTTGACTTTTCTCAAAAAAAAAAAAAAAAGGAAAATAATTTTTGTTTTAACTCTTAATTATATAATACATTCTTTGGCTTTTCTGTTGCCTTTAGTGTGTTGGTCTGACTTGTTTAAAGTCATTAGCTTACTTTCCTAAATTATATCTCGAGTATTTGTCTTACATAGATCGGCATTAACTGTCTAGACTCACCTTCTTCTTTGAGATTAGTTATTCTATTAAAATTTTAACTGCTGCAACAGTTTGTGGTTATTTTGTTTTTGACTCATAGGTCATATGAGGGAAAGATTCACTTAAGGGTTATGATTTCTTCGCCTTTCATATTTATATATTTATATATTGATCTTGGGTGGAAGGATTCCATTTTTATTCCTTCTAATTTGTTGATGTCTTTGAGGATATTCAGGTGAGAGATTTTCTAATATGCTCATGGTGAAGATTGCCCTTAGAGGCAGCAGTCAGTTGAAAAGACTGAGGATAGGAGGCAGATGTTAAAATTTAGCATGTAAATTTCAGTAAAAGACACCACAAACTAATTCAAAAGAAAAGTAACAAGCTGAGAGAGAATATCTGCAGCACGTGCCACAAAGCCTTACTCAGTAACGAAACCCATGTAATAGTTCTAATATACAAAGCATTCCTACAAACTGATAAGGAAAAAGATAACTTAAAAAAATGGGCAAAGGCTATAAACAGGGAGTGCACAGCAGAATAAAAATAGCTAATATATTAGATGCATACACACTAGAGTTAAGGACATTAATGTGTAAGAGACTTGAGCATGGGTAAGTGCCTTAAGGAAGACTGGTAGCAGAACAGAGGTGGAGAAATAAGCATTGAGCAGGAGCAGGAACACTATGTTCATTTTATTAGGAGTGAAGTTAGAAAGGGCAGGTATGTATGTGAGTGGAGCCATAGATTTGATGGTAGAAAATTGAAAGCTCGTCTGATTTTTTATTTTCTCTGTAATAGAGGCCAGGTCATCTTAAATGGCTGCCATCTGAAGGGGTGCAATTTAGAAACATGAAAACAGGTGGTTTCTTCATATAAGTTATTTGAGGACAGGGATTTCATTTAAGCCTTTCAAAGATAAGAACTTGATAAATGTTATCTTAATCTATTTTTCTGTGTTTAGTTCTGTCCCAGTTGAAGAACAAGAAGAGTTCAGGCAACTCTCAGATAGTATTCAGGAGCTACAGCAATCACTCAATCAGGACTTTCATCAAAAAACGGTATCTGACACTCAGTCACTCAATATAAACAATTGTTGTTTTAATAAAATGTATTTTTATCTATCTAAAAACAAACACACAAACAAATGGTATCTGTTGTCAGACAGCTTAAAATCTTAAAATTAAATTTTTTGGTAGAGGCGGTAGAGCATGTTGTGGAGGTAAAAGCATATTCCTTTTAATTACTAAAGAAAAAGAATATATGCTATGCCTATTTGTGCCCTTTATAATGGATATGTACTTCTCTCAATCATCTAGAACCATGAAGGTTTGGTTTTGTTGCCAAAGTTATATACTGTCTTATTGAATAGAATTGTTTAGGGTTTCTTCTGCGTAATTCTGCTGTTTTCTAACCATGCATTGTGGCACCCTGGACACTGCAGCAAACCTTCAAGGGTGTCTCAAAGTATTTTAAGTTTTTAATGGAAACACTGCAGTACTCAGCATCTGCCATACACTTCTTGAATTCAAGGCAGTTTAGTTTCAGTGTTAGGTCATACTACTTTTCTTTCATATACTTGTAAAGCTGGAGTTTTGGCATTTGCAGTGATAAAAAGCAAATAATGAGAATGCCAATTATTAGTCTGAAATACACAGTCCAAGATATGTGAATTTATATGGTATCCAATAGGTACACACATCTAATTAGGAAGTAGTTGTGGTTATTTAAAAATAAAATGAAAATATTTTTTCTTTCAACTTACATGTATTTTTTTTTTCAAAGGGCTATAATGTTGTTAGGACATAAATACTTATACAGTTATTTGGATTTAACTACTTAGTAAAGGAGCACTTACATATTCATTTTGGCCTAGAGGCATTGTGAAAAGAGAGAGTTTAAAGAATATCTGGTCTAACTCATTTAACTTTTTTTCTTTCTTATACCTTTATTCTATGAGAAAGCAGCAAGTGACTAAATTTAAATCTATTTTGAATCATTAGAAAACATTTGTTTGCTTTTTCTCTTAGATAGTCCTGCAAGAGGGGAATTCCCAAAAGAAGTCAAATATTTCAGAGAAAACCAAGCGTTTGGTAAGTATCTCTCTTTTTTTTTTTTGAGTTGGAGTCTCACTCTGTCGCCCAGACTGGAGTGCAGTGGCCGCTCCCGGCCACCGCAGCCTCGATCTGCTGGGCACCGGCGATCCTTCCGCCTCAACCTTCCGAGTAGCCGGAATTACAGGCGCGCGCTACCACGCCTGGCTGATGTTTTTTGATTTATGGTAGAAATGAGGTCTCGCTGCCCAGGCGGGTCTCGAACCCGCAGGCTCAGGCAATCCACTCACCTCAGCCTCCCAAAGGCGTGGGATTACAGGCTGAGCCACCGAGCCCGGCATGGTAAGTATCTTTTTTTTTGAGTTGGAGTCTCACTCTGTCCCCCAGACTGGAGTGCAGTGGGCGCTCCCGGCCACCGCAGCCTCGACTTGCTGGGCTCCGGCGATCCTTCCGCCTCAGCCTTCCACGTAGCTGGAACTACAGATGCGCACTACCACACCTGGCTAATTTTTTGATTTATTGTAGAGATGAGGTCTCGCCTGCCCAGGTGGGTCTCGAACCCGTCGGCTCAGGCAATCCACTCACCTCAGCCTCCCAAAGGTGTGGGATTACAGGCTGAGCCACCGAGCCTGGGTCTTTTCTTTTAAATAGCATTTACAGCTTGAATATATTGTGTGGAGTATTTTAGTTGTGTTGTTATTATAGTCCAATGTTTGTCCCTTTTTTCCCTTAAAGTGAAACAGGCTTAACCTTTTTCAACTTAAGTATAGTAGATGATTGTTGTTTTAAAAAATACTAAAGCACAGAAATGTACAGAGAAAGTAAAAATCACCTGAAAGCTCACCACATAATCTGATATATATCATAGGTTACATTTGCTATGCAACTGTAATTTGTGTGTGTATTTTGCATAAATGATATTCCATTCAACATGTCTTACCTGCTTTATTCCCCACTTAACAATATAGTGCAAGTAATTATCATGAGTTTCAAATAGACCCTCATTATGTTAGTAGTAATGCTTGCATCTGGTTGTGCATTATATGTATGTACCCTAATGTTGATCCTTTTAGATCCCTGTTGATGAGCTTTTATATTGCTTCTAATTTTTTTGCTATTAAACAAAAATACACATATGTGTTAACTATATGCATACAAATGTACATATATACATTTCTGCATCAGACTGCTTTTTATCTTTATATAAATTTTTTTTAATGGAAATAGGGTTTTGTTCTGTCACCCTAGAGTGCAGAGGCTTTCTTGAATGCCTGGGCTCAAGCATTCCTTCCCCTTCAACGTCCCAAGTAACTGGAATTATAGGCACATGCCACTACACCCAGCTATTTTCTTAAAAAAATATTATAGAGGAGTCTCACTCTGTTGCTCAGGCTGGTGTCCAACTCCTGGGCTCAAGTAGTTTTCCCAAATTGACCTTCCAAAGTGCTAAGATTATAGGCATGAGCCACGACGCCTGGCCTACCTTACATAAATTTGTTAATTTAGGATTTCTGAATCATTGGAAACATACATTTTAAATTAATCCACATAGCCAAACTGACTTCTAGAAAGATGCCAATTTATATTCCTACCAATAGAATATAAGACTGTCCCTTTCCCTATAAATTTGCCAAAAATGGATGTCTTTCAATATTTAAATCTTTGTCAGTATTGAGAGAAACGAAAATCTCATTTTTGTTTGATATTTTTAAAAAATTCTAGTGATTTGGATCATCTTGCTCAGTGATTTCTTGTTATTTCTTATTTTGAAAATTACTTGTTTGTGTACCTTGCTTATTTTATTTTTAATGTAATTTTGTGAAGTAGGGATATTAGCTCTCTACTTATGTCTTTCAAATTCATGTTTTTTTCCTATTAGAAGGTTTTTGTTTTTATATAGTACAATTTATAGATATGGTCTTCGTGGATTATGACTTTAATTTTGTACATAGAAAGGCCTGCCCCATTTATCGGATTCCTTTTTAATACTGTATTTTCTCACTGTACTTTTATTATTTCCCTATGATTCTAACACTTATACTTGTGATTCATCTGAAATCTACTGTGGTATCATATGTCCCTGTGTTCTATCATTTTTTTTATTGGCAGATGCTTTGTTCTGAGTAGTACTTACTATGGCTCAATTTTGTTATTCATTTCTTTCTGTCCCACTTAAATCTAGGTTAAACAAAATCAGTTTGTACTTATCAATTTTAGACTTTTTATAAAGGGGAGAAAAGTGATGAAAGTTAACACTATTGTAAGGAAAAGTATCCCTAACTATCCCTAATTTTATAGAGCATTAAAAGAGAGTAGCATGGTGGTCTGTAAAACTCTATGAATAAAATAACAAAATATAGAGAAACAAAAAAAATGCAGTATTTCAGACATTCAGTTCTGGCCTGTGAGTTAGGTATAACTAACTAAAAGTGTAAGAGCCTTGGGGGGGAGGGCATGTTTAAAAACTTTCAAATTACCCAAACTGTACAATAATACATTTCTGCTATAAAATACTACTCAAGTGATGTGTGTGTGTGTGTGTGTGTGTGTGTGTGTGTGTGTGTGTGTGTGTGTGTAGAGGCAGGTTGTGTCAGATAGGAAAAGCCTTCTCTTGGCCCACTTTCCCTTGAGGTAATACCCTTCCCTTCCTTCTGTAGCATTGCGTGCAAATACATAGATGTATATAGTCATGGGTCACTATTTTGTTGTTCTGTTTTTATAGAAATGGATTTGTGTTATATGTTGATTTGTGAATGCTTCTTTTAATGTTTATGGGAAATCTTTCATGTTAGTACACAGATTCATAGAGTGTCCTGAAACAACATAAAAACAATTTATCAACAAATATTTGAGAGAGAAATTTATGTGAATTGTTTTTTGGTTTTTTGTTTTTTTTTTTTTGCTTACATAATTTCAGACTTGCAACAAAGTTTTAAGAGAATTTCCAGATAACCTTCACATGAATTTTTTGAGTACTTACATTCATTTTGGAAATTCAGAAGAAGGAAGTTTGTTTTGATTCAAGAAGCATGTATTGAGTATCTTCTCAGTACTTTTGTTTGGGTACTAGGGGAACCAAGATAACTTTTCACAACTCTAACTTGCTCAGTCAATTATGAAACACATTAAATATATCATTATAGTATAGAGTTGCACATATAATAATTGTACTATTTACAGAAGAATGTAAAGAAAATGGGAGTAGGATTTTCAAGGATCAGTAGAAGTTCAGCAGGTAGACAAGAATGTGATGATGCTGTTTTAGGAGGACCGTACTGACCAAAGATCACTTAGACTTGTCTAACATAACACTAGTTTTGCCAGATTGTAGGATTTAGTAGGAACTGGTGAGAGAGGTGAGACTGGGAAGGAGAGTAGTAGCCACAGAGTGAAAGGCCTTCAATGTCCTGATAAGGAGCTTGATCTTTGGCCTGTACATAAATGTGAACAATTAAGCAGGCAAGTGATATGGTCAGAATTTCATTTACCACCATTATAGTGAACATGAACCTAATGTTTTGTTCTGTTCTATTATTGGAATGACAAATCACCAATCTTATTATTATATCTAATATATAAAACTTATTTCTCCACAGAATGAACTAAAATTGTCAGTGGTTTCTTTGAAAGAACTACAAGAGAGTTTGAAAACAAAAATTGTGGATTCTCCAGAAAAGCTGAAGAATTATAAAGAAAAAATGAAAGATAAAGTCCAGAAGCTTAAAAAGGCCAGAGTGAGTTTTCTTTTTTACTTTAATGCTTTTGTATCTTTTTTTACAAAAAGCAAACTCTTGTTCAATTATATTTTAATTTCCTGATTTCTGGATTATCTGTACTTCTCTTCCTCTTTAATATTTTCGTTTATCTCTAATGTGTACCTCTTCTCTAAAGTGCACATGGGCAAAAGAAATATAATTTCAGGACATTTGCTCAATTATGCAACAAATTTTTGGGTGTCAAACAAATGCTCTGTCCTCATGAGATTCAGTTTCTTTATTACAAAGGTATTAAATTTTACAAACAATTGTATAATTACAAACTATAATATATATGAAAAAGCATAGGCTATGTATGTGTAGGGGCAGGGGGCATATGAGAAATCTCTAATGTCTCATCATTTTTGCTGTAAACGTCAAACTGCTCAAAATATTAAAATGTTTTAAAAAGTAGCATCAAAAGAGGGAAAAATGTGTAGAACGCTTTGAAATAGTATAATGGGGGATCCCAGTTTAGTACTGTGGGAATCAGGTGCAAGAGGGAAGGAAGTAGAAATTTATGCTAACATCTGAAGAATGAACAGTAAATTGTACATGGGAGAGGGTTGATGGCAGAGGGAATAGCATATGTGAATTCTGTCAGGTAGTAAGGAACCAGCTATGCTCAATGTTATGGGTTACTGTAAGACAGCAGTCCCCAACCTTTTGGACATCAGGGCCCGGTTTCTTGGAAGACAATTTTTTCATGGATGGAGGTGGGGGGGCGTTGGGGAGGGAGAATCATCAAGCATTAGAGTCTCATAAGGAGTGTACAATTTAGATTCCCCACATGTGTAGTTCACAATAGGGTTCGTGTTCCTATGAGAATCTGATGCCCCTGCTGATCTGACAGGAAACAGAGCTCACCTCGCCCACCCTCACTTCCTGCTGTGTGACCCAATTCTTCATAGACCATGGACCAGTACTGGTCTGCTATCCACGAACTGGGGACCCCTATTGTAAGAAATGAATTGAAGTGGGCAGTACAAAATCAGAAGTGGTTAGGCAATTTAGCATCCTTTATGAAGCAAGGTTGTTTTTGTTTTTTTTCCTATAAAGATCCTGACTCCATAAAATGTTTTCAAACTATTAACATTTCTGGCTTATCTGAATTTGTTCTCCAAATTATTACTGAAAATTGAGATTATCACAAAAGAATTGACAAAGGTCACCAGAACAGAAATGAGAATCCAGAAGTAGATGTGTGTACTTAAGGGAAAAGGATGGTTTATATATAATCTTAGACTGAGATTTTTAAAATTAAGATTTAAAAAAATCTATGGAGAAAAGTAGACTTATTAGAACATATTTATAGTGCATATGTCAGAGATTATATCCATGATATGCAAAGAGTATTTATGAATTAATAAGAAAAAGGCAACAGAAAAATGAACAATAATATGATGAGGTATTTCACAAAAGATAAATTCCAACTGGTTAATAAGGTAGGACAAGAGACAGTCTAGTGAGAAGAAGGGAAAGAGTTTGTGTTGTTACAGTGGTTGTGGTAAATATGTTCATTTTGTAATTTTAGAAGAGGAGTTACTCTTTTTAAAAGAAGTAGCTATAATAACAGTTAATATACAAACGAATAGGAGAATTTTAAATGGGTAATAAGATTGCCCAGGAGTAATCAGAAATAGTTGGCGTATTAGCAGAATGCACTATTGGAAGGTACTTTATAAAATTTGGTTGTTTTCTTGTTTGAGGGTATATGGCAAACTAAGAAGCATAATTCTATTTGCTTAGACACATGTCAATAATAGTGCTTTGTTATTGACCTAGAAACTTAATTGTTTTCTGCTCTTAAGCTTTCAGTATTAAGTGTAAAAATTATTTAAGAGCAAATTGACATTACTGCAGTTTCAGAAAGGAGAATATCACACTTTTTTTTCTTTCAAAGCAAGAAGTGGTGGAGAAGTATGAAATCTATGGAGACTTGGTTGATTGCCTCCCTTCGTGTCAACTGGAAGTGCAGTTATATCAAAAGAAAATACAGGACCTCTCAGATAATAGGGAAACCGTAAGCAGTATCTTAAAGGAGGTTTGTATTGTGTTGAATTTCCTTGTCTTTATTATGTAATAGCTGACTATAACTTTTTGGATTTTGCTTTCACTTTTTTGTTTGTTTATTTGTTTGTTTTGAGTTGGAGTCTCACTCTGTTGCCCAGACTGGAGTACAATGGCCACTCCTGGCCACCGCAGCCTCGACCTGCTGGGCTCCGGTGATCCTTCCGCCTCAGCCTTCCAGGCACACGCTACCACTCCCGGCTGATTTTTTTTTTTTTTATCGTAGAGATGAGTTCTCACCAAGTTGCCTGGGCGGGTCTCGAACCCGCGGGCTCAGGCAGTCCACTCACCTCAGCCTCCCAAAGGCACGGGATTACAGGTTAAGCCACCGAGCCCGGCTGCTTTCACTTTTTGTTATTATTTTTCCTAAAGGAAAGCAGCGTATTCTACAGTATAATAGATGTGGCAATGAATGCTAGGAAAAAGACATTCTTTTTAAACATACCAGTAGCAAGACACATGTTTTAATCTTCAGCTGAGATGATAAAGTTTAATTTATAAATTAGTCACAGTAAGAGCTGAACAACAGTTACTAACAAAATAGAACAACTATAACAATATGCTGTCACTCGCTTTATCTAAGTGGTCTCTCACTTTATCTTAAAATGGCTCATTTTCCTATAGTCACCCTTCTTGTGATGATGTGAGAGGATAAAATCCCTACGTTGATGAGAGGACGTGAAATGAAGGGCCTAGGCACCATGACATATTGTTGGTCTACTGTTCGCCTTCTAATTATAAGTGAGAAGCAGGATCTGTGTTTTGTGATCCGGGGTCATAAGCCATTACGGCGTCAGTGGTTAGATGTTGAAGACTGAAGAACAAGCAGCATAGGTAGAAGCCTGGCTTCTCTGGACAAAGGGATGAGTCTCGTCCTGGGCAGGACGCAGTGGGATGCTGTGGGATTTCACCACGCTACTCAGAACAAGCATGCAATTTAAAACTGATAAATTGCTTATTTCTGAAATTTTCCGTTTGATATTTTTGGACAACCGTTGACTGTGGGTAACTGAAACCGCAGAAAGTAAAACTATGGATGAGCAGGGACTGTTGCAGCGCAGTGGAATTTAAACTTGTTCTGACAGTTGCAAGGGATCTTATAATCGGAAGGCAGAACATCCCAACTTAGTGCCCAATTCTGTATGTAGGATCTATAGAGAGATTTAAAGTTATGGCATAGTCTCTACCTTGAAGAGTGAGAGCTAATGGCATTTAAGTTTCTCAGGCTAGACGCCTGAAATCCTTTATTGTTTTTTAGCTTTATCACCTTCATCCTGACTATCCCCAGGATCACTAACATTATATTTGATAAGCAGGGGTTTTTTTTGAAGGAAGTATGGGTTAGAAGATGAGATTGCTCGATGTATTCTTTCCTAGCTACCTAGTTCCCTCATCTGCTATCAAGAGTTACCCAAGAAAGATAATGATCTACTGCTTTGAATTATTTCTAAGGTCTACCCTTCTCTCTTTATTTCTACTACTTTAGTTTAGACCCTGTCCCCCTCAACTCTTGTCTACTAGCTAATCTTCTAAATATGTTCCTCTGTTCTAATTTTGCTGATAGAATAACATAATAACACCTCTGTAGTTGTCATGTCCTTTCTGAGTTATCCCTAGTACCTTCCTGTTGTCTCCTTTGTTCAGTCTGCATTTTTCTGCTGGGCTTTCAGGGGCTTTTTTATTTTGCTTTTTTTCTGAGTCAGAGTTTCACTCTGTCGCCCAGGCTGGAGTGCAATGGCGCACTCAGAGCCACTGCAGCCTTTGCTTGCTGGGCTTAGGCGATTCTTCCACCTCAGCCTTATAAGTAACTGGAACCACAGATGCTTGCCACCATACCTGGCTAATATTTTGATTTGTAGTAGAGATGAGTCTTGCCAAGCTGCCCAGGCTGTTCTCGAACTCCAGAGTTCAATTAGTCCTCTCCTCTGCCTCCCAAAGTGTTGGGATTACAAGCATGAGCTATTGCACCTGGGTTTAAACAACTTCATCACATTTAAAAATTGTATTTAATTATAGCTCATCTTAGAAAATACTCTTTCATTTTGTTTATAAATCCTAATTGTTTATATTGACTTTAAATAATTTTCATAAATTACAGAACCTGAATTTGGAGGACCAAATTGAAAGTGATGAGTCAGAATTGAAGAAATTGAAGACTGAAGAAAATTCATTCAAAAGACTGATGATTGTGAAGAAGGAGAAACTTGCCACAACACAATTCAAAATAAATAAGAAACATGAAGACATTAAGCAATACAAACGCACAGTAATTGAGTATGAAATTATTTTCTATTTTAGTGTTTTAGAAAGTAATTATGGAAAGCTAATACATCTTCCCCCTGGATTCCAAAATTACTATATTTTCAGAAGAGGTTTAAACAGTTTTATCTTTATTCCACCTTTAATTGACTAAAAGAGATGAATTAATTATAAAACTTATACTACAGGTCTAGAGTTAGAGATGTTTTAGCTACTTTTTTTATTTTCCCTAGATATAAAATTCCAATTCTTGTGACATTCTTCAGAATGCTACTGCATATCTCAGTACACTTTAGAGACTGTAGTCTGGAGTTGCATTCGAGTGAATTAACTGGCCCATCTTATAGTCCAACTGGTCTGTAGAGTTGTAGCATTTGGGTTTTGAGAAGTCTTATTTTTTAATTCAGGTAAGAAATAAGAGTTTGCTACATATGTTTTTTATATAGTCTATTGCAGCATTTTATTGGAAAAGCCTTCTTCCCATCAGTTCTAAGAATGTGTTTTTAGAATACCTGTCCTAAATATGTCTATGATGTCATTCTTTCATTTCCTATAAGGCACATGAGGGATTACCTCAGTATTTTCCTTCACACTTTCTCATGCTGATGAAGAAGCAGGGCAGAAGCTGAGGATTTGTTGCCAAACTGCCTTGCGGAAAAATTAATACTGCTTCACATTCCCACCAGCAATACCTAAGTGTGCACAACTGGGGAAATGTAACTTAAAATCTCCATTTTATTTTAAAAAAAATTTTTTTTTGAGTTGTAGTCTCACTCCGTCGCCCAGGCAGGAGTGCAGTGGCGCAGTCACAGCCACCCCATCGTTGATCTGCTGGGCTCCAGCGATCCTTCCACCTCAGCCTTCCAAGTAGCCAGAAATACAGGCACATGCTACCACGCCTGGCTAATTTTTTGATTTATTGTAGAGATGAGATCTTGCTATTTTAAAAATTTAATGTACTTATCTTTTTACTTGCCACTATCCTAATGAAAAAAAGTCTCCATTTTAAAGAATAGCTTTTAGATGAAAGCGCTCACTCTATATCATGACATGATTATAGCACCACACTGGGGTTTTATCTATTTTCTTTTATATCTTGAGAAGAGTTTTAGGTTTATCAAGCAAATACTGGCACATGGTCACTTTGGAATTTAGGATTATTTACCTATTTAGATGCTTAAGAGGAGTATATATTAGCTGTCTCTGTTTTCCTTTAGGGATTGCAATAAAGTTCAAGAAAAAAGAGGTGCTGTCTATGAGCAAGTAACCACAATTAATCAAGAAATCCAAAAAATTAAATTTGGAATTCAACAACTAAAAGATGCTGCTGAAAGGGAGAAACTCAAGTCCCAGGTGAATATGTGCTCATAAGAAATTAATTTCAGATGATCTCATGGGTTTAAAATGTAAATTCTGTCACCCTTACTATAAAGATTTTGTCAGTTCCCTGGAGAAGAAATTGACCCCTTGGGTCCTTTATTTTTATTTCCATTTATAGCACCTTTTCTGTTACCCTTGTAATTTGCACATATGCATATGTGTGTGTGTGTGTGTGTGTGTGTGTATCCTTCATACCTTTGTTCTTACTTGCCTTTTTTCCTGACAACATGTAGTGTGTGTGTGTGTGTGTGTGTGTGTGTGTGTGTGTCCTTCATACCTTTGTTCTTACTTGCCTTTTTGCCTGACAACATGTAATAGAATATTGTTCTTTTCAGTAAGAGTAATTGCTCCATAAGTTCTGAAATTTTTAGGTAAATGAACTGGGATTTTAAGTACTTTGTCTAAAAAATGTATCCTTTTTTTTCTGATACAAGGATCTCAAAAGTGTTTTTTAGCATCAATGTTGAGTGTCCTTGAGTAGTTAACTGAAACAAAACAGCTTAGCTTGATCCTTGTGTTAGTTATGGACATTTAATGATACCTGAAATTGTTTACTATTTATCTTTGCTTGTTTTTAGTATATTTATTTCATAGTTTCATTAACAGTCTTACCTGTTCCTCTCCTTTTCTTAACCGCCAGTGTCTCTAACAAGTAGTCTACTCCTGATACATTTATAATATCTCCATTCTCTGCTTGACTTACTTCTTACTTATTTATTTATTTATTTTAATAGGGTCATAGTCTCACTATGTTGCCCAGGCTGATGTGGAACTCCTGGGCTCAGTCAGTCTTCCTGCCTTGGGCTCTCAAAGTGCTGAGGCTTACAGGCACGAGCCACCTCACCCAACCCCTTCTTCACTTTTGAAGTTTACTTTATATCTTCAAGATTGTTCTATGAGAACAATTGCCCAAATTGATACAACAGAAATAAGTAAAAATACTCGTTTGTTATGCAAAATCCCATGGTCTCTTCTTCATTTTGCCTATGTTGACACCTAGATGGGGGTTTCTGAAGCCCCTGATATCTGATAAATATTTAAACACTTGCTGTCATACTTTTCACTATCCACACCCAATTTGCAAAAATTCCTAATGCTAGAAGAGCCACAGTGGACAATCCCCTTACCCGTTCTCAGGAATATTTATCTCCCTGAAGGATTACTTGCACTCATGAGCATTATCTCAAGGTTTCAAAGGAATGGAGAAAGGAAAGGAAGAAAAAAGAGTAAAAGGCAATAGAATACTTGTGATTCCCATTCCACGGTCTGTCCTGTACGCTGTCCTGCTTTTTTCTGTTCTTCTTTCTATATCCAATTACTTGTATTTTTCCTACCTCTTAACTGAATATCCATGAGGACTCAGTCTTTGGCCCTCTGTTTATCTCTAGAATGGAAATTACAAAAACTTTAGGAGATATTTAATGCTGCTTCTTAGACAAATCAAATCGAGAAATTTTTATGTGTTATCCCATGGTCTAGGTACAGTTAGTGAACCAGTTATTGATTACTAACTACTGTTACTAGTTATTAACTCAAACATGAGATACCTTTGTCAGTCATAAAAGATGCCCACTCCTACCTTATATTACTGTTATTTTTGTGAATGTGTGTCTTGGCATTTCTTGATAGTAGCATTTGTGTATTGTTAACCTTAGCATGTCATGACAAACCATACCTAGAACGGTGCCTTATATGTGCTATCCTTTCCATAAATATTTGTCAGTAGTTTCTTACTAGCTGTGTATTAGAATGCAATGAGGCATTTTTAAATGAGCAAACAAAGTCCCACCCAAATACATTCATTTAGAATTTCTAGCAATGGGGCCAATGAAACTGTTTTTTCGTATGACTTTTGAGAACCGCTGATAGGCTCTGCTTTAATAGTCTTACTGGTGTAGAGCTCATAATCACTCAAGCTGTTCTACTAGGAACAGTTAAAATGCTGTTTCTTATTTTGATTTTAAAATATTTATTTCTGTACTCTAGTAAACCCACTCTCAGGAGCAAATCTGTACCATCTTTTACTTAATAACTTAATAACCCTTCAGACATTTGAGGATAATAGTGATGGTTTCTTTCAGCCTTCTCTTATTCCAGTTAACAGCCCCAGTTTTCCAGACATTCTTTATATAGCTTAATTTTTAGTTTCATTACTATCCTGTTGATTGTCCTCTCTCTGTTTCCTACTTGTCGTAATTCCACTTAAAATGTAGAACTCAGTACTAAACATAATCTTGCAAAATAATGGTGTGACCAGCCCCAAAGCACAGTGCTTAGTGAAGTGTAAAATTGGGTTGAATTTTAGCAGCAGCATCTTGCCCTTGATCCTATTCGCTTGTGATTAAATGACCCGTCTTTTCCACATACAGTTCTGCCACCATACTAGTGCAGTTATTTTCCCACCATACTAGTGCAACTGTTACTTTCAACTATTATTTCTCCTAGGTTTTATTTTATTGTTTCAACCTAGATTGCGAAAATATGAATTTTAGTTTAAGTCTATCATTCTGTTTTTTTCATTAACTATTTATCATTGTTTGGTGTCACCTGTACATTTGATCAGCATGCCTTTTTCTCTAAGATAAAAATGTTGAAGCCGGGCTTGGTGGCTCAGCCTGTAATCCTGCGCCTTTGGGAGGCTGAGGTGAGTGGATTGCCTGAGCCCGCGGGTTCGAGACCCGCCTGGGCAGCGAGACCTCATCTCTACAATAAATAAAAAAATCAGCCAGGCGTGGTAGCACATGCCTGTAATTCCGGCTACTTGGAAGGCTGAGGCGGAAGGACCGCCGGAGCCCAGCAGGTCGAGGCTGCGGTGGCTGGGAGCGGCCACTGCACTCCAATCTGGGCGACAGAGTGAGACTCCAACTCAAAAAAAAAAAATGTTGAGTAGAACAGGGCCCTTTGTTGCATCATAATTTTTTCTTCAGAGTGGCATAGTACTACTGGTCAAAAATTTGGGTACAGTTGTTCAACTTGTTAAATTGTTCTGCCTACCTTGACCCAGTCTAAATTGTGATATCCATTTGTTCCACAACAGCTTGGGAAGTCTTTAAATTGGTGAAATCAGATACTTTTTGTCAAAGAACTCTCTTTAGTACTTCATAATCATCCTCCATGAAAAGGAAAAAAAGATATGTGAAGGTTGCCAAATTGTTTTTTGTGCTATTCTGTTGGATTTTGCAATCATATTTCTTTTTTCATTAAATATTCTTTCCTATAGACAATTTCTCTCTTCTAGTTTCAATTATTACCTTATTTGTATAGCTTTCAAGAATCTGTTTCCTATTCTGGCCTCTCAAAACAAAAATGGCATTTATGAAGTTACATGTAACATCTTCCCACATCTGTCCTTTCCTCACTTTCTCTCTCCTTTCCCTTCTTCTTTCTCTGTTTCACTCATTTCTTCATAAATTTCTTCCTGTTTTGTGATGACGTCATCATTTTCTATCACAAAGAATTTAAATTTTGGACTTGCTTTAGATAATTCTGACATCCAGATAATCACCAAGTTAATTTGTGATGTTTTAAAATTGGTAGTACTATTCATAACTAGCTCTTTCTGCTGTATATTTATCACATCATTTTGTAATACTCATGGATTGCAGTAACACTTGCTCAATTTCCTTTTTGACTTTAGACTCTTCTGCATCAAATCTGCCTTGAATACTAAGTACTGCCAAATTTATTCTGCTAAAATATTACCCTAAATACTATACTTTCTTGTTTAAAATGGGAACTCCCTGTTTTTTTGCAGTTTATTCATCCATTCAGTCAATATTTCAACAAATGGCCTGTGTATCTACTAGGTGTTGGGCATTACACTTGACTCAGAGAGTAAGTTATAAGCAAGGAAGGCAGGATTTCCACCTGTAGGACTTTCAAAATTTTATATCTAAGCTAATTATTTCTACTACTTAAGGTTCAATAAAGTTATATCTTCCATGTAACTTTCTCTTACGCTTTTCAAGTATCTTTGATTTCTCTCCTCTTCCAAATACTATAGCACTTTTAGTCTATTTTAAATGATCTGGATCTGTTCTGTCTGACTCGGTAGCTTTTAGCAATATGTGGATATTTGCATTTAAATGTAAATTAGTTACAGTGAAATAAAATTGAAAACTTAGTTTCTTATTTGCACTAGTTATATTTCAATTGTTGAGTATCTACTCTGATGTGATTTTATGTTTCTTAAGAGGGTAGAAAGCATCATTGTATTTTCCATTATACTCTTATACCATTTATAGTGCTACTTGTAGAAAGTACCCAACAATATATTTGGTTGATTAATTAATATGTACTTGTTTAAAAAACAGCTATGCTGGCTGTAAAACTCTATGCATATTGTACAGTCTTAAATATCTGTCATTTAAAAAGGAAGATAATTATCTAGACCAACAGTGTCCAATAGAACTTTCTATAGTAATGGGAATGTTCTTCTGTACTGTTTGGCAGCCAGTGGACACAAGTTGCTGACAGGCCCATGACATATAGCTAGTGCAACTGAAGAACTAAATTTTGAAGTTAATGTATTTAAATTAAATTTAAATTCTATTACATTTAAATAGCCACATGTGTCCAGCATAGAACTAGCTCTTGAATTTAAAAATATTTAACTACAATAAGGCCATCACAGTAAGACTTATTATATGTGAATTATTGTGAGCTAATATTATAAAGTTCTATTTAGATATAGAATTTAATTAGAAACTCTAAAATATATTGCATTTGTCAGAGATATGCTCTGTCACCAATTTATATCATGTGGGGGTTGGCTTAGGACTTCAGTTGTTTGTTTCTGTGTTCATGCCGCTGGAATTGGGCTTTAATTTTTTTTTTCCCCATTTATTGTGGCTTTACTGGCAGAATTTGATGACTACTTGAATGTGTTTTTTCTCGGGAGGCAAGTGTTCCTTTGGGCATGCTAAATGGTTGGTTCAGATGTTTACAGATTGTATGTCTTTATTTAGCCACTCTTAGTTTTGATAGCTTCTCATAAGTAATATCTTTCTACCAATTTATTCAGCTTTCTTTTTAGTATGAGTAAACATATACTCCTAGAGAACTAGGGAGTTAAATTGATCTATAAGCTGCTGAATGTGCTTTTTAAAAATGATATTCACACAAGCTAGCAACTAATTCACCTTGTTTTTTCTTACAAGATGTAAGAAATAAAGCTTTCAGAAATGTGTGATTTATTTTCCAAATGGTTCATATTCTATCATAGTTGTGGTAATTTGATAGCTCTTAGATCTCCTATTTTTATATTAGGATTTAGTAATTATGGTTGGATTTTTTGAGAGTATTTAGTCTTAAGTGTATATTTACATTTGCTTAATCTGGACTAATAGTTCTCAACTTGCATAGTGGCAGAATTGCTGGGAAAAGTTTCCTTTTTTGGAGCACTATGAATTCATACTATATTCAATTATAGCCTATATAATTTATTCAAAATCAGATAGTATCTATGCAGGAATTTAAACTGAGATAAGTTGTTATTAAAACTATAGGTTTAAGAAAAATACCAATGGAAGAGACAATTAAAATTGAGACTATTGTACTCATTTACTGCTTTTCTTCCCCCATTGGAAAAGACAGCTCTTTTCAGTGGCAAAGTTGTCCAGCTCTTTTCAGTGTCAAAATACTCTAAAAGGTATTAATATATTTTTTGTTAAAGCTGGTCCCATATCTTTGAACTGAGGATCAGGGACAAATGAAGAGGTTGTAGTTTCCTACAGTCATCTAGTTATTTTTCATGATTAACATGGAAAGCACTAAAGTAAAGTTTTTCTTGATAATTAAAAATATGTGTGTTTTTAATGTCTTGGAACCCTAACGGTTGTCACATTTCTCTCCATTTTCTTTTTAAGTAGCTGACTTTTTTAATGTGTTTGTACAGCTCATAGAAAGAATTTTTGATGAGAGCAGGTATATAAATGTACATGTGTTTGTGCATAAGAGTTTGGGCTTTAAAATATTATTAATAAATGTGAAGGAAATATTGGAATTCTTGTAACTCATTTTTAGCTTAGGTTGTTGTATGGGATGATTGATTCTTCTGTTTTGTTTTCTACTTAGGAAATATTTCTGAACTTGAAAACTGCTTTGGAAAAATACCATGAAGGCATTGAAAAGGCAGCAGAGGACTGTTATGCTAAGATAGATGAGAAGACAGCTGAACTGAGGAGGAAGGTGTTGAGAATGTCAACTTGATTAACAAAATTACATGTCTTTTTGTAAATGGCTTGCCATCTTTTAATTTTCCATTTGGAAAGTAAATAGTTAAATTGAAGCTAGTGGAAATATCAGAAGTACCAAATAATGTTGGCTTAATCAGTGTTAAAATAACTTGTGCAGCTATTCCTGTCCCTACTCTGCCCTTGGATGTAAATAGTTGTAGTAAAACAAAACTTGTTACCTTTGAAATATATATATTTTCTGTTGTTGTCTTGGCTATTGTATGTTGACATACAGAATTGGAATGTCATTGAACCCTGACTGTGTCCCAGGCATTGTGGTTGGAATCTCATTGGGTCTTTATGCAACTCTAGGTAGATATTTTTAGTACTACTTCACAGATGAAGTAACTAAAGGGCCCAAGCAATTAAATGATTGAGACAAAATTTGAACTGTGCTGTGTGCTACCAGATTCTGGAATGCTTCAGCTGTCCTATACTTTATAATGTAATTATTTAAAAGGGAAAGTTTGAGTACAGTCTTTTTTCATTGATGCCACTGGCATGTTTACAAGAAAAATGAGTTAAAACGTGTGAAAGTGACTGGAACAGTGCCTGGCATGTATTAGACACTCAGTACCCATTAGCATTTAGAGTTATGGGAGTTTCAGGTATTTTTCTCTTTGTCAAAAATAATTAAGTGTTACTGTAGGTAACAACCAGGCTTTCAGTGAGAGGGGCAGCAAAAATGGTGTCCAGGGAGGAACAGGTAGGAATTCAAAACTGAGCTGTTGACCTTTCTCTTTTTAAATAGTCAGGAATTTTCATCCACAGAAAGGGCTGCCTATGAATATTGGTAACTGGTGTAAACATGACCAGGTCCCTCTCATATTGAATTTTTTAAGATTTTTTTTTAAAGAAACTGCTAAACAGACAGAAATTGGAACCATTTCCCCTGAAAACTGCAACAAGACAAGGATGCCCACTCTTACTCCTGTTCATTATATTTTTGGAAGTTCTGGCTAGAGCAATCAGAGAAGAGAAAGCAATCGGGGTATCCAAATAGGAAAAGAGGAAGTCAAGTTATCTCTTTGCAGACGACATGATTGTATACCCTGAAAACCCAAGAGAATCTGTCAAAAACTCCTTGCACTAAAGGACTTTGGCAAAGTCTTGGGATATAAAATAAATGTGCAAAAGACAATTGCATTTCTATACACCAATAATAAACAAACCCAAATAAAAAGCACGATTCCATTCTCAATAACCACAAAAAAAAAAAAAAAGAAATACCTTGGCATCTTCCTAAGCACACTGAGAAAGACCTTTACAATGAAAACTCCAAAACACTGCTCAAAGAAATCAAAGATGATGTAAACAAGTGGAAAAATATTCCATGCTCTTGGATTGGAAGAATCAACATTGTTAAGATGTCCATTCTACCTAAGAAAATCTACAGATTTAATGCAATACCCATCAAATTACCAGCAACATTCTTCTCAGACCTAGAAACAACTACAGGAATTCATATGGAAACGTAAACAACCACGAATAGCCAAAACAATCCTCAACAAAAAAACAAAGCAGGCGGTATCGCACTCCCAGACTTTGAACTTTATTATAAAGCTACAATAATACCACTGGGGTGGTGGTGCTGGGAAAACTGGCTGGCCACATTCAGAAGATTGAAACAGGACCACTATCTATCCCCATACAAAAAAGTCAGCTAAATTGATCAGAGACCTAAATGTAAAACCTCAATCTATAAGAACCTTAGAAAACGTAGGAGACACCCTTATGAAAATTGGAACTGGCAATCAATTCCTGATCAAAACACCAAGTGCCCATGCCATAGAGATAAGATAGACAAGTGGGACCTTATCAAACTGGCAAGCTTCTGCAAAGCCAAAGAAACCATCAAGAGAGTGGGGAGATAGCCCACAGACTGGGAAAAAAATATTTGCCAACTCTGTCTGTCAAAGGCTTAACATCTGGGACGTACAAGGAACTCAATCATGCTGAAAAGAAAAAAACAGCCCCATTACAAAGTGGGCAAAAGATACGAATAGACAGTTCTTGACATACGAGCAGCCAACAGATACATGAAAAAATGTTCAGCCTCACTAGTCATCAAAGAAATGCAAATTAAAACTACACTGAGATACCACCTAACTCCAATCAGAATGGCCATCATCAATAACTCAAAAATAACAGATGCTGGAGAGGATGTGGCAAAAAGGGAACACTTCTACACTATTGGTAGGTGTGTAAGCTAGTACAGTCTCTGTGGAAAACTGTGGCAATACCTAAAAGTTCTAAAAGTTGACCTTCCATATGACCCCGCAATCCTCCTACTGGGAATATACCTGGAAGAACTCAAATCACTATAAAAAAGATACCTGCACATGTATCTTTATCACATCATTGTTCACAATAGTAAGAAAATGAAACCAACTTGCTGCCCATCAAAAGAGGACTGGGTAAAAAAAAAAATATGGTACATATACACAATGAAATATTGCACAGCCATAAAGAAGAACAAAATCATGAACTTCACAGCAACCTGTGAAGAGTCTATAATACTGAGTGATCTTTCACAGATACAAAGAACTGAGTATCATGTTCTCATAAGTGGACCTTGAACAACTGTTGTAATATAAGAAAAGGATTGACAGTAGTGGGAAACTGCAGGGGTGTGGGAGGGTGGGGAGGTGGGATTGGCAGTAATGGGAAAATGCCTGGGGAAGGGGGGCCACATCTCATCAACAAGGCTACCTGCACAATGAATATTTGTATACCTAACCCTGAATTGTACCCCACAATTTTAAAATAAAAAATTGAAAAGAAAATAGAATCTATTCTTGTGGGGGGAAAAAGGATTCAAGAAGGTACATAAGCTGGACTTGGTGGCTCAGCCTGTAATCCCGCACCTTTGGGGGGCTGATGTGAGTGGATTGCCTGAGCCCGCGGGTTCGAGACCCGCCTGAGCAGCGAGACCTCATCTCTACAATAAGTCAAAAAATCAGCCGGGCGTGGTAGCGCATGCCTGTAATTCCGGCTACTTGGAAGGCTGAGACGGAAGGATCACCGGAGCCCAGCAGGTCGAGGCGGCGGTGGCCGGGAGCAGCCACTGCGCTCCAGTCTGGGTGACAGAATGAGACTCCAACTCAAAAAAAAAAAAAAAA